AATTAAAAGATCCGATAACATCACCTTATACAAACCAGGCAACTGATTGGGATCAACCTGCCTAGGACTATGAGATACATGAAGAAAACTACTATAGTTGCTATATCCATCATATTCTATAGTTAGAGAGAAAATTTATGTTACTTCAAGTGAAATAGATATTAAAAGTTGCTGTTATCACATGTTTATCTATATAGTTCTCATAGACATAGTTTTTATGATATATAATGTTCAGTTAGTACATCGTCATATACATAGTTGCCTCAACTAAAGAAATATTGCAGTTTCTTTGTTGTGGCCTGCAAAACAAATACTATGGTTGAGAGATTCGTAGAGTTTGGTTGCACTATACAGAATTGAATATTACCCAAACACATATGGATAGCCAGTAAATAAGGCACCACTTCCAGAGTATTATGGATATTACAATCATTTTGTATGCATGGGCGAAAAATAACATTCATATTTTATTATGGCAACCATATTTAGGCAAGTGATATCCTTAATGTTTTCTCCGCGTAAATCGGGAAGTAAATATCTGCAGCATCATTGGTCTTTCAAGTTGGACCTTTCAGACTTGATGCAGCATCCAAATTCCGATTTAGGAATTTGGACGACTCTTTTCGAAATTTCCCCAACGAAGCGACGTCCGAGCTGATCGCGAGCAATTTAATAGCGGGACATCCTGTTTATAGTCGAGACATTACGCGGTGACATTACGAGAGTCGATTTTACAGCGCTACGTCGGCGGAGCGGTCGATCCTCTTAGGCAACGGTTCCTTTGCAGATGGTGGAAAAGCCACTATCGGCGCGCTCGCACGCGCGATTTTAACGCGTTAGCTAGAGGCCGCGGAGAAGAGGCCTGTCGCTAGATTTATCTCCCTGCCACTACCAACGGACGAAAGTCGCTTCGCGAGTCGACATTCTTCAAGTACCCTCTGGGGACGTGCTCTCTCGAGAGAACTCGGCGGGAATTTTTATCGCGACCGTCGCCGCCGTCGTCGCCGCCGTGTCGGCCGTCGACGGCGCTAATTTATTGGCGTTAATCGAACGCACCATGGCGTCGGATCTTGCGCGAATTCCGCGGATTTCGCGACGTCCTTCTGCGCGCAGGGAGCCGTGGAATCTTTATTGTTGAATTATCACGTGTGACAGCCGTGCCGTGGATCTCCTCGGGGTCAAGTCGCGAAGACGTAAAAGTCCTTCCATCAACATCCCGATAACTGTCTCTGCCAGTCGACGAAATTGCACAGGCTGTCGCGCGGTCATTGTGCGCGCTTAACCGCCTCTCTCGCCCACGGTTTTACGAAAAACCCCGTTGAAGTCAACCGGGACATCGAGTGACGTTTTCTGCCCCGGCGAGAGGAAAATCCGAGACACGGATCGCGGCCGTGACGAATCCCGCAGATTCCTCGAGCGGACCGATGAGAGACGGCTCGTGCAGCACTCGAAACGAATTTCTTTCCGAGTTACCCGATACACAATTGCGTGTCTCTTCGCGGAGATAAGTCGTAATTAAGTAGTTTTTACACCGTTGTATCGCGTATACGAAAGGTCGTCACGCGTCGGAAAGCGATTTAACGAGACGCGCTCTGTGTCTGAGATAATAAAAAGAAAAAAGAGAAAAAGGTAAAGACAGAGAGAGAGAAGGGAAGAGAGAGAGAGAGAGAGAGAGAGAGAGAGAAGAAGGAAGGGGGAGAGAGAGAACGAGAGAAAAAAGAAGAAGAAAGAGGAATCACCGAGCGGGATGAGCGAGTTGTGTAAAATAATACGAGTCATAGCATAATAATGGCTAATGGTACTCCGTGTACGCCTCGATACGTTGTTATCGAAGTGCGCCCGTGTGCGTGCGTGTAACGCGCGTGTACTCGCGCCTTTTATTTTAGAACACGATCCGCTCGTTCTAGCTGGCTTCATCGCCGCCTCCTTTGCCTCTAGCAATTTCACGGTCTACCCATTCTGACAAACATTCGTCTTCATTATTTCGTCTGTCATCGTGAGCGATTTCGTTCGGACGATCCGCGTGTCTCCCGCTTCCCTTGCGGTCCAAGGTCGGCGCGTAGTGCCGCGGAAGCGGCAGATGAGTCTGCACAAACCTGGAACGTCACTGGAGGCCACCGGCTTCTTTCATTCTCTCCCTCTCCCTCTCTCTCTCTCTTTCCTTCTGTCTCTCGGAATTGATTTGCGGGTCCGGCAAATCCGACACGCGTGCACGAGTGATTCGCGACTTTTTTCAATAAAGTAGATCGTGTCGCGCAATTTCGCGCGATTTTGCATAAGACCGTGAAACGGGTCGAATCCTCCCGCGGAGATAACTGCCACGGCGTGCAGATCGCCGTGATGTTCTTGCGCCTTGCTGCGGCGTGTACAAACCGCCACGCGATTAGAATTGCACATTCGGAGCCGCGATTCGTTTCAGCGCCTTCGATCACCGCGATCGGCCAGATGTTCGGCCTGGTGATTTCATTTTGGAAAGTAGGCGACCGGCGAACCTTGCGGACTTCCATTTTATCAACGTCAGGGTACATTTTGCCATGCACTCTCACGACACGTGTGGCGATCGCGGACATTTGTAACAAGAAACAATCGTAAAAATCGATGCTGCAGAGGAACAGGAGCTTCGATCATCTCTGAATGCAATATCTGAATTTATTGCAAATTGATTCTTTTAAGGAGATGCAACCTGTTTGTTATTTTCATTTCTTTTCTGTCGTTCCTGCAGCGTCTATAAATGTTGCAGATCAAGTCCATAAGATCTAAGGAATTTGCTTATCTTTGCTCCAGGGTGATTGACATTGGCGGCGAGTTTTCCGGAACGGCGCCGGTTCCGATCCTCGGCGTCGGGGTTAGGCAGGGTGGAACCTTGGTAACCGGTGAGCTCAACGTCAGTCCTGGCACGCCGTTGCAGATGGAGATATTCCTGGACAACGATTCAGCGCCGATCTACGGCCTGCTGGTCACTTACATGCTGGTGACCGACACCAAGACGCAGGAGGAAACGATTATTATTAACGGGTAACTGATCGACGACGACATTGTCGCGTTTGCATTTACAGGAAATCTCTTGCGATGTTTCGCGTGGTTGATAATACGCAATACCATGACACGCACGCATATACACAGGTGCTCCGTCGATCCTTACTTGTTCGAAAACTTCAACACCGTGGACGGCGACTTCCTGACGGCGAAATTCCGCGCTTTCAAGTTCCCGGAGAGCACTTACGTCCAGTTCCGCGGTACCGTTAATGTCTGCCTGGATAAATGCCAAGGGGTATGCTTCATTCTTTCATATATAACGCGCGCGGGCTTACATTAGCACGATTATTAAACCGGTGGCTCCATTTGCACGGTCGTTACGTCCTTTATTTTATTGCTTCGCTCTGTCGGATGCTAGTGCCGCTTCATGATGTTCGCCGACGAGTCTATTAAGACGTGTTTGTACACGTGCTTCAGATCGAATGCAGCAACGGCCAAGTCGGTTTCGGCAGAAAAAGAAGGGCTATTGAGATGTCCAGCACCGACAAGAACAAATTGTTCGAGGTAACCATGTCGACGTTCATCAGGGTCGATTCCGCGGACGACGTCATGATCGATCAAGGTAAATCGCTTCATCCCGCCAAGTGAGCGATCGTTTGAATAATTACCACACATTCGTCACGTTTATGGCGCCTGTTACGATGCTTCATATTGTGTGTTGTCAGTGCTTTCGGAGTTCATCAGGAAGGGAAAGAACAGGACGAAAGAGAGAGCGGTGATCGCCGTGGAAGTCAGGGAACAGTCCGGCCCGACGACAATTAGGACGCACGAGAGGTCCTTTCTCGCGGAGGAGATCAAAGAGCAGTTTAAGTACAAGGTCACCGAGGTGGTACTCAATCGTTCCTCGTGTAGTACGCTGAACTGGAGTCTTTTCTTGATCGTCCTTTGCTTTTACAAATTCCTGTAGGAGACAAGATTTGTGTTTCCTGACAAACAATTGCTAACTGTAAATAAGACGCAGCCCTGAGGCACTTTAAGAGCGCGAAGGATGGTCGGACGTGTCGCTTCCACGAGAGAACGATAGTATATTTTCTAACTGTCAATAGGAATTTCGATCATGATAACGGCGGATCATCGGCGGTTGTGTCTCTTTCTCTCTCTCCCTCTCTCTCTTATACGCACATCACACGCACACGGGTGATCGTTGACTGTGTATAGTCAAGACACGCCTAGAAAAACATTGGAAGAGATTTGTCTTGTAACGCTAATGCTTCAAAATAGTTCGATTTTTTTAAGTTTTTCTCAAGAGAAATTCGACTTCAAGCTTGCCGATCACATCAGTCACGCACTTTTTGCGCGCGATGTTGAGATAAAAAGAGTCGGGTCCTGGACAAAATCGGGACATAAAGTCTCAGGTTCGGGAAAAACGGAGAAAAGCGAATTAACTATCTTGACGCTAACACAGTAAGCAGTAACACATACTCATAAGATTTCTCCGCTCTGCGACCGCCGAATTTTCAGTCATGACATTGCAGTCCTTTAGCTTTACTACATATACATTCTTTTTTACTTTACGTAACGCGCGTACCGTGAATAACTGCCGTATCTCTTAATGGTATAGCTGCCAAACGAAAATTGGCCTTTGCGAGCGGAGAAAGCCGAAGACCTAGTCGTGCGACGAGGTGTAACATTGCAATGTGACTTAATTAATTAATTAATTACTAAGTAATTATTAATTGAGTATCCGTAATCTCAGTCTATAACGATTACGTTAAATAAATGTAAAGTAATTGAATAAAACGACAGCAGACGCGGCAGAGCGACTTCTTTTTTCACCACAATTGCGATCGTCGCCTAATAGCACAATTTTTTAAAATTATTCATCTTTCGTATATCTACCAAAATGTAACAATGCGTTATAGCTGCATTATCAAACGGACTTTCGTACGGTAAGGAAGTCCAGTCAAAAGCAATTGTGAGATTATAGACGCTTCATAATGCTAGCTCATTCTAGTGACATATGATATGTAATAAAATATATATTTGGAATATATAAAAATATCTTTGTTATAAAATTACATTCAATATTTGTCTGTAGTATAAAAACAACGTACAAAGTTTAAAAAAATGGAAGCTTTGAAATTGCGTTCGTACGCACTTCGAGACACACGTTTGTACATATTGCTCGTGTTACATTCGAAAAATTCCGAATTTCGAGTCTGGTATAGGTGCATTTAGACTTGCGGATAAACTCAGACCGAGGACAACTCGCGTGTCAACGGGATCAATCACACCATCGTCCCAAAGCCTATGAAACAGATATTTTAGAATAATATTCATATAAGAGTAAATATTTTTTTTACTGCGACACCTACCGAGCACTAGAATAATATGGATTGCCTTCCTCCTCGAATTGTTTTATAATCGGATTCTTGATGCTGTCCTCCTCCTCCTGAGTCCACTACAATATCGAAACATACGTTGATTTCTGCATATTAGCTAAATGAAACATGGAACTGTACCTTTTTGCCTTCCCTTATTCTTTGATCCTTTGCAATTTGTGCCAATACACCAGCTGCCTGTTCACCTCCCATCACCGATATCCTGGCATTTGGCCAGGTATAAAGAAATCTCGGGGAATAAGATCGGCCACACATTCCTATAATAGTCATACATCGCCTAAGTCTCTCTTCGACAATGTGAAATATTAGGATAAGTAAGTGAAATACCGTAGTTTCCAGCTCCGTAAGAACCGCCTATTATCACTGTAATTTTCGGCACTTGAGCACAGGATACTGCCGTTACCATTTTCGCGCCGTTCTTTGCGATGCCTCCCGATTCCGCATCTTTACCAACCATAAAACCTGTGCATTGATAAACTTTTATGATTATATACCGCGTGTTACGGGAACTAGGAAAAAATAATACGCGAGTGACTTTGTAATCGTGTAACCTGTGATATTTTGTAAAAAGATGAGAGGAATTTTTCTTTGTGCGCAAAGCTGTATGAAGTGAGCTCCCTTCAGAGCGCTCTCGGAGAACAAAACGCCGTTGTTCGCGACTATGCCCACAGGATAGCCGTAAATCCTGGCAAAACCGGTGATCAAAGTCTCGCCATATTGCGCTTTAAATTCATGGAACTTTGACCCATCCACGATCCTCGCGATGACTTCCTTCACGTCGAATGGACGTTTCAGATTAGTTCCGACGATACCGTAGATCTCGTCGATGGCGTGCAAAGGCAGCTCTATGTTCTTATTAATTTTCACGTCCATAGGCGGTTGTAAGTTTAAATTTTGCACAACTCGACGCGCCAAGTGCAAAGCATGCGTGTCGTCTATCGCATAGTGATCGGTAACACCGGATACTCTGAAATTTCAACACTAACTGAGTATTGATGTATGGTGTTCTTATTATATAAATCAATAATACAATATTTCAAATTATTACCGACAATGAAGCGCAGCACCACCTAAGTTCTCCGCTGAAACTTCTTCGCCAGTTGAAGCTTTTACCAACGGTGGGCCAGCCAGAAATATTGTACCTTGATTACCAACGATAATGTTCTCATCCGACATGGCAGGAACATATGCACCACCTGCGATATATCAAAATATGCAAATATATGCATATAAAAAATATAAGTAGATAAAATTGATAAGCATAAAATTACAACATACCTGCTGTACAACTTCCTAAAACAACTGAAATTTGTGCTATTCCTTTGGCACTCATATTAGCTTGATTATAAAAGGATCTGCCAAAATGCATTTTGTCAGGGAATACATCAGCCTGCTTAGGTAGATTTGCACCACCACTGTCTACTAAATATATACAGGGCAATCTATTTTCTTCCGCAATTTCTTGCGCTCTCAACTGTTTCTTCACAGTGATAGGATAATAAGTTCCACCTTTCACTGTTGCATCATTTGCTAATATTACACATTCAGTACTGTAAAATAAAATTTGTGATAAAAAAGATATTGCAAAGAAAGTTGTAATATATATTTTAATACAAAGATTACCCTTCTACTCTGCCAATACCAGTAATAAGTCCACCAGCTGCTACTTCTTCTTTGTCATACATCTTATATCCAGCTAATTGTGAAAATTCCAGAAAAGGTGAATTTCTGTCTAACAGCGTATTCACTCGTTCCCGAGGTAAAAGTTTGCCTTTGCTGATATGTCTTTCTTTAGCTTTCTGACTTCCACCCTCAACTATCTTCTCCACAGTAGCTTTCAGTTGATCAACAAGAGTCTTCATTTGTGCATAATTCTCCTAATTTCAAATATAATTACGTACTTATAGTATAAATAAACAAACAATATTATATTCGTATTAAAAAAATATATATACGTTAAAAAAATTTAACATATAGCTTATATAAACTATTGTATTTATAATAATACCAAATACTAACTTAGCTTTATATATAATTTTCTTAAAATCTTTCTCTTCATTCTTCGAAAAAACGGTAATATCTAAGAATCATTCAAGCATGATGAATTGTACAAGTGCCTTCTAACCTGATAAATCGTTGAACTGGTATCACATGTACTACCAATAACAGAGGCTTTTTCGTGATAAAATCTAACGATAGGCCGAAAATGTTTTAATACACAACGACTTCTGCGTAACATTGTTAATAAGTAATTTTAACTATTGTAACAAAACAATGGAAGAAGCAACAGCTGATAACAATTAACACGTGTCTCTCTAATGTCTGTACTAGCGCAAATTAAAGGCTGCTTTACATAAAGATAAATGTAAAAGTAGGTATGTTCTTTTAAGCTGAACTGTCTGTTCTTTTAAGCTGAACCAGTTCAGCTAAAAAGAACAGACCTAATATAGTAAATGCAAAAGCATAACTTATAGCGTGCTTGACTGGCTCTGGGTTAATCGCTCCGAAAAAGCGATTAATGACGTCATAAGTCTCTATTAGCCAATCATAAAGCTTATAAGTACTTGTTCGACCAATAAACGTAGGCTGAATAACCCAGAGTGGGTTAATCCAGAACCAATCGAACATGCTAATAAACATCCCGTTATTGTATTATTCCGTAAAACAGTTGCAGAATTGTTATTTCTTAAAAACTAGAAAAAGTAGAATTTTTCTATTATTGTTTTGTATTTATCACGTTTCTTTTATCTTCTATTATTTTTAGTATAATTTTTTTTTTCTAGAAAGATTATTTAATATAGCTTTTAAAGCGCTGAAGTATTTTATATTTAGTTTCATTAGAGAGAACGGAGTTCACATATAAATCTTGGTTAAAATAATACATTATATGTGTTTCATGTACATGCTTAAGTAGATGATTGTCAGGTTAGTGTCTAATTTTATGACAGTTGGTGGACAGAGTCAGATGGCAGCAAATGTAAAAGGTGCTGTTATGAGTTGATATACGCAATATACGTGTGCCATGTTGTCGAATTAAAGTTGTTGGCGGAGAAAGATTAGATATCATTTGTCAACCAAAAATAAATTTCGTAGTCGCATTTAATTTAATGAGCTATTGCTTTATTATTATTGATATTGTAGACACTCTCATACAACCAAAATGCCTAATTTATCCAATTTATCACATTTTCCTTTGAAGGTATGTAAATTAAATATTCATTTTTTGATAACGTCATTTGGTCATGAGCACCATGTCTGTGTCGTATCATCATTTTTGTAATTTGTGTCGTATTTTGTGTCGTAATATCATTTTTGATGGAAAAGTAAATTAATGCTTCACGAGGTTGTAATCAATTTCTTTATTCATTAGATTTATAAGCATGTAAATCTTAAATTAATTTCTTAAACTGTGCAACAAAAATGTTATATATCTTTTGTTATTGGGTTTTTCTAGGTCATATTCACGATTCATCTGATACTTGTAACATGGTAAGAATAATTAGAATGGATTTTAAATTTGTATATCTTTTAAATATCAAAACTATTATAATTTGTGTAACAAAAACTATAGGGAGGAAAAATATTTTACAGGAGTATTCAGGGAGGTTGGTGTCCCAAATCTGTAATGTTCTACAATTTGTTATTCTTTGTTTGTATATTATGGGCTGTTCACAATACAGAATCAGATGAACCACTCCAATTTGTGAGTTATTCAATATATAAAAGGAATGAAATTATTTGAAACTATCTCTTCAAATATTTGCAATATTCTTTTATAGGCTCTTTTCATAAATGTGCTTTCTATGTTCTTCGATGTGATCACTTTATCAGTGTATTATCCATCAAGTGGTAAGTATATATTCTCTATAATTTTTCTTACACAAAGGAAAAGGAGAATAAAACTATTCATTATATCTGTCTAATTATATCAAATTGTAGGTGCATTTAACACATTTAGTGCAGCTTTTTCGATCATAAATTTAATTGTCCGCCCTATCACAAGTATATATCTGCTACGAATAGGCCAAGGAAGAGGTGGTACTTTAGCTACAGTGTTTGCACCGAGTCCTGCCATGGGTCAGTAAATCACTGGATACACATCTACGCTTTGTAGTACACCAGTGCTTCTTCAAGATATGATTTATTAAGTATGTGTGTAGTAGTTTTGTGCTTTAATGCAAATTATTTTGGATGTTCAATAACCAAATGACCTTATGTTAGTTGTCTAGGTTTCTGCGTACCCAGTTATGTCTCATCGATGCTTTTGGCCTGAATTTATGTAGCATGTAAAATTCTAGCATTTTATGTATCAGTTTCATTAGTGTCACAACTAGTTTTTGTTGTGCAAGTGCAATTGGCATATATATAAATAAACATATTTGGATCACTTACAGGTTTTGGCCGGCAGGACTATGAAGAAATATCTCATCCTCTTCCACAGAACGCTGATTTCGATGGAGTCTAAGGTTGAATAAGGCTTGTTTGAAGTAACGGTTCTAAATATCCGTACAATATACATGTCTGTAACATAATAATAGCATTTTGTAAGATTATTTATTAATTACACGAAATTTTATAATATTACATATGGTAAATGAGAGATAATATTTTTATTTATCAGTGTGCAATATTTGTACTTTAGTTGAATCTTGTTATATATTTTATAAAAATTTTTGTACGTTACTGAGAATTATATATAAAAATGTTATAAGGGCATAAGCTACTTTAATCAACTGACAGCGATGTTTGAATCGTATTGCTTCAGTTGTCTATTTAGTCATTTAGTCAATTAATAACTGAGCATTATGATTCGAATTACGAATAAGTGTCCACATAGCTCGCTGTGTATGCGTACCTAACATTAGTAAAATATTCAAAATCTCTATTCTGTACAAGTATATTTCCATATTGTCGACTTGTGAATAAAATATTTTATAGTAACTCACATATAGACGCACCTCGTAGTTACTGTGGAAATGCTATTCCGGAAAAATTGTCCTTCGCAATCGTGCCGAGAAACCGAGCGTTGTGGCCGTGTTGCGTGAAACACAAAATGAAAATAAAACGGCTTTTTAGCTTAACGATTCGCATTGATGGTAACACGAAAGACATCGCTTTCGATCGTACTCATGCGGGTCGATTGATGCAGTTAGAACAGTGCTTGGAATTATTTCCACATTTCCGGCAGATTTCAGAGTTAGCGCCTACTACTCTCCCCACAGCCGCTCCCCGCTTGACGGCTAGGCTGCCGATCGCGCGTGAGATGTTCGGCTTCAGGATCGTATCATCAATCTGTTAAATTATTACCAAATATTTTTTTCCCCAATAATTTTTATTTTTATAAATAAACACATTTTTTATTTGTAACTATATATATATATATATATATATATATATATATATATATATATATATATATATATATA